AGGACGCGTGGGAGGAGGAGCGGGAGCAGATGCGGGGGAAGGAGCAGGAGGGGAAATGCGAAGGGCCGGAGGAGCCCTGGGAGGAGGAGCTGGAGCAGGAGGAGGAGCGGGAGGAGCGGGAGGAGCGGGAGGAGCGGGAGGAGCGGGAGGAGCGGGAGGAGGGATGGGAAAAGGAGCGGGAAAAGGACGCGTGGGAGGAGGAGCGGGAGCAGATGCGGGGGAAGGAGCGGGAGGGGAAATGCGAAGGGCCGGAGGAGCCGCGGGAGGAGGAGCTGGAGAAGGAGGAGCGGCAGGGGAAACGGGGAGGGGGTTAGGAGCGGGAGAAGGAGCACGAGGAGAAACGGGAAGGGGCGGAGGAGGCGCGGGAGGAGGGGCGGTTGAAGGAGCGGGAGGAGGTGCGGGAGGAGGAGCGGGAGGGGAAATGGGGAGGGGTTTAACGAACGCGCGGGAGGCATACGAAGGGGAGGAGATATAGGTGGAGGAGGAGAAGCGGGAGGAGCACGAGGACGAGCGGCAAGAGCGGGAGGAGCGGGAGGAGGAACGGGGGAAAGAGCAGGAAACAGCAGGAGAAGGAGAAGCAACAAGAGGGAGAGCAGGAAAGGGACGAGTGGGAGAAGGAGCGGGAGGAGGAACGGGGGAAAGAGCAGGGGAAGTAGCGGGAGAAGGAGAAGCAGCAGGAGGGAGAGCGGGAGAAGAAGGAGCAGCGGCAGGGGAAACGGGGAAGGGAGCGGGGGGAGGGGGAGGAGGAACGGGGGGAAAAGCAAAAGAAGCAGCGGAAGGAGGACGGGCAGCAAGAGGAGCGGGAGGAGAAGCAAGACAGGGAGTGGGAGAAGGAGAGGGAGGCGGAGAGGGAGGAGGAGCGGGAGAAGGAGCGGGAGCGGGAGGAGGAGCGGGAGGAGGAGTCGGAGAAGGAGGGGGGGAAGGACGGGGAGGGGATACGGGATGGGGTTGCATCTCACAGCCCCTTGCTCCATGCTCTCCTTCTCATTATGCACATTCAAAGGCTGCTCAGTTCATGCACACACGAAACTGTTGAAGCGCCCTGCCTTGGCGTGTGTGTGTGTGTGTGTGTCACACACACAGACACACACACACACACACACAGACAGAGAGAGAGAGAGAGAGAGAGAGAGAGAGAGAGAGAGAGAGAGAGAGAGAGAGAGAGA